TTTTTTTTTTTTTCTGACTAGTAAGTTTTTGATATATATATTGTTTGATATATCTCATTATTGTTTTAGGATGAGAATTGTAACAAGTCGGATAATCCGACTCTGCGTAAGAAACTCGACGTGCTGACATCTTCCATGAATCGCATTGGGGACACCATTGGAAATGCATTGGAGGTAATTTAGTTAGTTGAATAATTTTGCAACAAAATGCCTATGCGTATACAATATATTTTCACCTTAAACAAATAGAATGTGGTACAGTTGATTTAACATCTTTTATGCTATATATGTTTGTTTGTTTTCAGGAAGGGCGCACAATTGTTGAGAACAAGACTGCTGGTTTTATCCAAGAAACACGCAAAATGCAGATAAGGAGAAAAGAAAATTACAATGAGGGAGGCACAGGGAAACTCTCAATGCAATCACCTAACAACCATACCAGCCAGGAAGATATGCTTAAGGCATCTCGAGACGTAATGTGGCCACTGTATGAAGTTGTGTTGTGTATATATCTACAAATTCATGCATCAAACAGATTATTTAACAGCTAATAATAAAAGTCTATGTTAACTATATTTAGGACAAGGAAAAAAAAAAAAAATTGTTCTTCTATGTTTAGGACAAGAAAAATACTTCTTCCCTCTAGTTTTATAGAGTGGACACAAGTAAATTTCATATTAAATATGTACTTGGATGCAATGTATAACCATCAATTGGTCGGTCTTTTTGTGTGATTTTGAAGTGTTGATCCATTTGACTTTGATGAGCATTGAAAGGCTTCTATATGTTTGTTTTGGCTTTATATATATCTAACAGGTGGCAATGGCGACTGCAGCAAAAGCAAAGCTGCTTCTACGAGAGTTGAAAACGGTTAAAGCTGACTTAGCGTTTGCAAAACAACGGTGTTCTCAATTAGAAGAAGAGAATAAAATTCTTAGAGAGGCTCGTGAGAAGGGAGTTAATCCTGCTGATGATGACATGGTATTATTCATATATATACTACGTAACTGCAATTTCTTTTATATGGAAATAAATTTGCTCTTTGAGAACAAAATGAAAACTCTCTGATAAGTGAAAAAAATGTGCGACTAGATTCGGCTCCAGCTAGAGACGTTGTTGGCTGAGAAGGCTCGTTTGGCGCATGAGAATTCAGTTTATGCACGTGAGAATAGGTTCTTGAGGGAGATAGTTGAATACCATCAGCTTACAATGCAAGATGTCGTTTATTTGGATGAAGGAATTGAAGAGGTTACAGAAGTTTTTCCGGTTATGTCGAGGATACTCTCGGAAGGACCCTCTCCAACAATGTCTCGAAATTCGTCTACAAATAATCTCTCGAGAACCTCTTCTATTGTTGATTTGCTCTCACTCTCCACACCAAAAGCAGAATAATAATAGTAATAATAATAATGACTGCCACTCAATAGTTACAATACAAGTTTCAACAAACACACTCCATTCATCTATGTTTGTTTTGTTTTTGCTTATTCATTAGTTGTAATTTCTTTTTGTTTCCTTAATTTTCAAAGTTTCCATCTTTTAGTTGACAGCATGTCGTGGTTCCTTTGGAATCTCTTGGCATAAGATCTCGCGCGTGTCCTTGTATTAAGTTAATTTAGTACATAATGCTATGTTAATGAGCATGTAACTAAGATTAATTTGGTGTTCTAATTGCATGCATGGTTAAATTCATTTTCTTTCTACTTAACTACCAACTTTTATCGGGTAGAACATTCTTTGCAACACCTAAGTGTTTTTTGGACTTCATTAGTCATAATATGTAATATTTTTCTTAGTA